CATGCACAGTGCGTACTGCATTCGTGTCACTCAAAATCGTCGCCTCTTTGGCGCTTCACATATGCAAAAGATCTCCGAATTCTTCGAGACCCGTTCCTAAATCATCCCAGTTTCTTCGACTTTCAGGATAATTTTCTCCGAGAAGCCAGAGAAAATAAGAACGCACCCTGAACCTGGCGGTTGCTGAGACATCAAACAAACAAGCAAAACAAATATTACATAAGATGTCCAACCTGGCGTGGTCATTCATGTGTCAAGCAGAGTGGCGCAGCGGAAGCGTGCTGGGCCCATAACCCAGAGGTCGATGGATCGAAACCATCCTCTGCTAACTTTTTTTTCTCTTTTCTCTTTTTTTTCTTCTTCTATTCTTTTGTTTGTGTTCCCAAGTGAGCAGGTGTGTTGCCTGTGTCGTCTCAAGGATTCCCTTGTCTTTTTTCCTCTCTTTTTCTGTTTATTTTTCTTCCCGCTGATTTACACCTAACTGCAGGTAGATATATTATTATTAACTTAAGTTAAGCACTTCCGCATTCAAGTCGGTGGATCCATTAGGTCCACCCACCGGTTCGCTCGTGCCGTACAGATCCGATAACGATTACCGGTAGATGATGTTGAGCTCCATGATAAAAGAATAGTTTCCAAAAGATACACTCGGTGTGACTGCACGCCAGGCAGTGACTAAATATTCATGCTGCATGCACGTGGCAGTAACACTGAACAGTGCTGTGCAGGTAATAATTCTGTTTAATCCTGTATACTCAAGTATAATTATAGTTAATCTTCTGACTGTAGATGGTGTGATAATGTAGTTGCGAGCACAACCACCTTGAAGCGCGTATAGTCCTTGCACTACAGGGTACTGCACAACTCCTTCCAGCTGTCGCGGTCCTGCGCAATGCGTAGACGCCGAGACCTTTGAGGTCGGCAGAGCAGCCTGGCCCCGCCACCACTTCTCGCACATATTCGGGAATATAATGGACTTTCGTATACAAAATAAAAAAAATCTGGTGTAGGTGCACCAGGTAGATAGGTCGCAACTACCCTCCTTCTTTGTCTTTCCTAAGTTTCCTTTTTTGGAAGATTGTTAATTTCTCAACCACTACTGTATCGGACCGTGAAATCTGATCTCGTGAATCTATGCAGCCCTAGACCTGCGAGCACTGGAGCTGAAGTAACGTATTGGTGACATAACCTGGCAGTAGCTCGAGACATAACACTGTACAGCCCCATTTGGTCACTACTTGCTGTAGTCATTCATGTGTCGAGCAGAGTGGCGCAGCGGAAGCGTGCTGGGCCCATAACCCAGAGGTCGATGGATCGAAACCATCCTCTGCTATTTTTTCTTGTCTTTTAGTGTTTTTCTTCTTTTTCTTCTGTCCTTTGAAATTACATAAGATGTCCCCAATATGGTTCCAACCTGCCGTGGTCATTCATGTGTCAAGCAGAGTGGCGCAGCGGAAGCGTGCTGGGCCCATAACCCAGAGGTCGATGGATCGAAACCATCCTCTGCTATTTTTTCTTGTCTTTTAGTCTTTTTCTTCTTTTTCTCGTCAGGCGAAATTACTGGTCAGTCGGCGACACGCATTTTTCACAAAAAATTGCGTTTCACCTGCTGGGAGAGTATGCGTGTACTCGAGTCTCATCCTGAGCACGTTTTTTTCTTCTTTTTTTCAGCTCCAGTATAGCTGTATTTTTCATTGCAAAGCCGTCCTCGATTGTTGTGTTCGTTGTTCAAACGAAGTGGACATTCAATCACGAAGGCAGAGGACATAGGAGCCTGATTGGAGTTTCTCGTGGCATAGGACGGCCACACAGAGACACTTTGGGATTTTCTGAATATAAAATACCGTACGCACGATGCTGAGATCAATTTGTGCGATATCAAATTGTTTGTGATCTACCACATCGAGCAGACCGGGATCCAAACACAAGCTTACCGACGGTTAGGCTGCCGACCTGACTGGACAAATGATCCCTGGCTTCACCAGACGCCAGAAGTCGGACACCATGTCCTTTGCCGCGACGTCCATCTCCAAAAAGAACTCCACCTTCTTCGTGAAAAGGCTTGAAATACTCAATATTCAACCGAGATTCGCGGTCTCACCCTTTCTCAGATCAAATCATTTTTTGTTGTAGCAGTTGCAGGGCAGATCCCCGCCACTACTTCAACAGAAGATGGCTCCAAAGCATGCCTGGAACAAGCCATATCGAGGTTGCAAGCCACCCCTCTCAGCACTTTTTTTGAAGAATTTCGAAATTTCAATGGTGGAAGATATACTATGAAGAGAATTTCAAAAAGTATGTTTCGCGGAGCGATCGCTCAACCTACGTCATTCAAACTTTGCAGGATGGTTCAGACGTACATGCTAGGCATGAAACCACAGAAGATGATAATAATAGCTGACACACAGAGTCACACACACAGCAGATTCGTGTGCACAGATACTAAATTAGTGGACGTCGTCATCTTCTTCCCGCTGATCTCAAATGTACTATGACGTGCTATTTCGCCTGACGTTCTGTCCTTTGAAATTACATAAGATGTCCCCAATATGGTTCCAACTTGCCGTGGTCATTCATGTGTCGAGCAGAGTGGCGCAGCGGAAGCGTGCTGGGCCCATAACCCAGAGGTCGATGGATCGAAACCATCCTCTGCTATTTTTTTCTTGTCTTTTAGTCTTTTCTTCTTTTTCTTCGGTCCTTTGAAATTACATAAGATGTCCCCAATATGGTTCCTACTTGTCGTGGTCCTTCATGTGTCAAGCAGAGTGGCGCAGCGGAAGCGTGCTGGGCCCATAACCCAGAGGTCGATGGATCGAAACAATCCTCTTCTATTTTTCTTGTCTTTTAGTGTTTTTCTTCTTTTTCTTCTGTCCTTTGAAATTACATAAGATGTCCCCAATATGGTTCCAACTGGCTGTAGTCATTCATGTGTCAAGCAGAGTGGCGCAGCGGAAGCGTGCTGGGCCCATAACCCAGAGGTCGATGGATCGAAACCATCCTCTGCTAACTCTTTTTTTTCTTCTCTTTTTTCTTGTTCTAGTACACTACAGTCTGTTTCAAAAAGATTAGCAATCAAGTTTGGGTCTTAAAAAGTATGAAGATAAGGGAAATTTGGACAACAAAGTACATAAAATGCCTTGTTAGGGCATGGCAAATTGTTCTGTGAAGGTTTCGGAACAATTGGACCAACCGTTAAGGAGTTAGAATTTCGGCCAGGTTTCCGGCCTTTTCCCATGGTTTATAATTTGCCCTGGAAGCCAGTATCGATTTGTTATCAAAACCCACGATTTATCCCTTCCTTTTTGGCCTTGTGGTTATGAATGCTGTCTTCTGACCATGAAGTCGTGAGTTCAAATCCCAACAAATCTTCAAGTTAAACATGTTTTCTTCATTTTTTCATTGTTTTGGTGATCACGCTGGTACAAGACAAAGAAGGTGGCTGCGCCAAACGACTTGTTGTTGGAGCTCGCGTTCCTGCCGAACTGACTGACACTTGACTGGCTCACGCCATGTGAAGTTGTGAACACACACAACACTGAAGCCGTGTGTGTGAACACGGAAGTCATTGCGCTGTAGCTACGTGTTGTTGAATACACCGGTACATCGATCGATCGATTTCTGTATGAGAATTATTTTAGTATTTGAAGATCGCCAATTTATTTGAATTTAGGAGTAGACGCCGTCTTCTATCAGCTTTCACAGGCGTCTGCTTTTCTCGAAATGTCGTCGAAGTCACACGGATAGCTTTGCCACATGAAGGCCTTGGGAACGAGCCTGTGTCGATGCCGTTTTCGTCACATCGTGAGAGTAAATCGAATGCGAAACGAAAGTTTGATTCGACTCGTAATTGTTTCGTTGAAAACAGATTCAGGTTTCGCAAGTCGCAATGCAAATGTGCATGGCAACTACGAATCCGGCCGGTAGCTTGGCGTACAGGTGTGTTCGCGCACACGTGCATGGATCATGGAATCAAGGGAAAATGTGCACCAGGCAAAACATGTATACCTCGCAAAAAATGTGTACCTGACGGATTCGGAGCGTGCCACGAATGAAGAGGCTTCCATTCGTGAAAACACCCGTACGCCAAGCTACCGGCCGGATTCGTAGTTGCCATGCACATTTGCATTGCGACTTTCGTTTCGCATTCGATTCGTAGCAAATGCGAAAGGTCCCTAGTGACTAAACCTGACAGTTGTCGAGACAGCACACTTTGCAGCCCTATTTGGTCACTACTTGCCCTGCTCATTCATGTGTTGAGCAGAGTGGCGCAGCGGAAGCGTGCTGGGCCCATAACCCAGAGGTCGATGGATCGAAACCATCCTCTGCTAAGGTTTTTTTCTTTTTCCTTTTTTTCTCGTTCTAGCCCTGTGCCGATCGATGTTCACACGCATGCGCTTTGTTGTCTATGTCTTCTCAATGATTCTCTTCTCTCCTTTCCTTTTTTTCTTTTCTTTTCTTGTTCTAGTGCAGTTCCTATGCTGACAAGTGAGCAGTGAGCAGTTGGTTGTGTATGCCTACACCAACATTCCTTTCTCTTTTTATAATTTTCTGTTTTTACTCTTTACTCTTTAGTCACTACTCTTGTTTCTGATAATTTGGTCGATGACTCGAAAATCACCCTCTGGTTCCTCTCTTCTTTGGCTTTGCCGGATGATTGTTTGATTTTGTTTCTTTCTCAACCGCTAGTATACTGTGTGCTCCTCACTGAAATGTGATTGTGTGAGTCAAAGCAGCGGAGGCTGGGATTGAACCAGTGCTCACAAAGCCTACTGTACAGTGAATAGTTCTTTTGATTTTTAATTTTTTTTTATTCATTCTAGCATTAGATACACTCTGATAAATTGATAACTCGCACACACAAAAAAAAAGAAGAAAGAAAAGAAAGAAAAAGTACAGTGAATACAGCTGTTTTGTCTTCCTTGCAGCACGTTTTGTCTCCCCTGCAACACCATACTGAGTCTGATGGGCGTGCACTGTTCTCTCTTGTCAACTGTGCGTAGATGTGTCTCGCCGGGGCATCGTCGAAGTCGACGCGGACAACGTGGTCACGTCGTTTCTGGAGAAGCCGCGGCCGACCGAGACCCAATCGCGCTTGGCTGTGAGTGGCTTTGTCATAACACCGGATTTTTCATCAAGCACTAATATAACTCAGGCTGCAACGACAATGCGTAGATTATTTCAAACACTGAACGACATTGAACGGATAAACAATTTAGTAGACAGTTCAACTTCGCTCAGGTACAAATAGGTACAAGCAGATATGTTAGTCGGTGTATCCTGCTCCAAGAAAGGCAGTTTGTCTTGTTGAAAGATATTCATCGATGAATGTTGAAATTCAATGAAGGGCTGCAGTACTGCCAGTCGCCGAAGAACTGGGGGTCAGCCTCCTAGCCTAGACCGTTCTTATTTTCATGTATTACAGTGTATGCACAGTTGAGTCACCGTGTATACATTGGTATGCTGGGCTTGATGAAATTCTAGCCTGGCCGTTCTTCCGCGCTCCGTTCTTCGGCGCCCGACCGGACCGTAGACAAATCAACTTTCAGTCCTGCTTTCAATCGTGCAATAACAGACTATAAATTATAGTCTGAAATCTCTTTTGGCGAAAAGGATGAAATAAAATTCCTGACGAATATTCTGCATTTAAAGTAATGTACTGCCAATGAACATACAAATTGGTGCTTTTGAACTGAGAGTGTGTGTGTGTGTATGTGTATGTATGTATGTATGTATGTGCATGTGTGTGTGTGCACGTGTGTGTGTGTGTTTGTGTGTGTGTGTCCGTGCGTGTGCATGTGCATATGTTTGTCCAGTGCCCCTGTTTCTACATCTTTTCGTCCAAGGCTCTTCCCTTGATCTCGGCATTTCTCCTGGAGTTGAAGGTAAGGGTCCTTTTTATGCAAACACCCATCTCGTTACCAGGGTTCCCTGCAAAAAGGCGATGACGCTTGTTGGGAATTCCCTAGTAAAATAAGAATACAAATAAATTAAATTAAAAATGAGAGGACCATAAGTTTACAAGTTATCCGTTTTGTCCAGCACTCACGATTATAAGCAGGATGCTATGGTCCTCTCTTTTTTTAATTTTAATCCTTGGCTCTCCATCCGAGTTAAAATTTAATAAACGAGAGAGCTTGGAAGCTCAGGGCCCTACACTATGCTTTTTTTTGCCTTGATGACCTAGACAAAAAAAAGCATAGGGATGTTATAAATTCTTTTAAAAAATCCTTTTTTTTTTAAAGACATAACCTGGGATTCGAACCCGCACTATCGCGCGCCCTGCATGCATCCCCCGATACACTTCGCATACATTTGTTTGTTTGTGTCACGCCTGGCGCTATCCGTATCTACCGGCAAAAAAAGCATAGGATGTTATAAATTTTTCAATTCTCCTATTTTTTTCAGGCATATCCTGGGATTCGAACCCGCACTATCGCCCTACATGCATTCCCCCATACACTTCGCATTCATACCCATTCTTCCAAGTTGTTTCACATTGTGATCTTGCATTTGAAAGCCCTATTTGAATATGCATTGTGGCCAGCCGTCTTTGATGGCACGGTACGGTAGGGGATAGGTACGGGACAGGTACGATCGAGGGTAATACGACACCGTCTCCCGTACCGTACCGTACCATCAAACACAGCTGGCCACATACAGCTGCCCGCAATAGTCAAATAGGGCTTTCAAACGCAAGATAATAACGTGAAGCAACTTGGAAGAATGGGTATGAATGCGAAGTGTATGGGGGAATGCATGTAGGGCGATAGTGCGGGTTCGTATCCCAGGATATGCCTGAAAAAAAATAGGAGAATTCAAAAATTTATAACATCCTATGCTTTTTTGCCGTCAGATACGGATAGCGCCAGGCGTGACACAAAAACACAAACAAACAAATACCAAATTAAAGCTGTGTGGACCCTGGCTAGCGCCAGACGTTACTGAAGTAACGTCTTCTGCATAGCTACGGGAATAAATAAATAATACCTGTGTTCTTCATCCAGCCTACTGCAACTTGGCTTATTGTGAAAGATGATCTGTAGGAAACGGGTTTGAGTTGACGGAGGAAGTACTCGCAGGCAATATGCACATTGCAATGCACGCTGCAACTGAGCGGAAAGTTGGCTTATGTGGGTGGGTGTGTTTGTGCGTGTGCGCATGTGTGTGCGTGTGTGTGTGTGTTTGTGTGTGCGTGTGTGCATGTGTGTCCGTTCTACTCTGTGTATGGTGTACAGGATCGTCCGCTGGCTGAAAGAGATGCACCTGGTAATTTCTTACCTTACCTCAGTGCAAGGTAAGCAGGGGAGCAACAACAACGTTGTATGATTTTTATTTGTCCTGTGACATGTGATGAAAACTAGGTGTAGGTATAACTGGCAACTGGCACGGCGCTGCAAGGGAACATGAGCATTTAAGCAAGCAGAAGGCCTTCACAGTTGACTTGGCGCTGATGTTCGTTGCTGTGAATGTCTTCTAATGTACGGATTTCTAGGTCTCTTGCCGTACGTTCACGGGGTATGCCTGTATTCTGAATTTCCAAGACGAACAAAATGTCCTGTCTGTATCGACTGGGACTGACATTTGTATTGTCAAAATGTCCTGTCTGTATCCACTGGGACTGACATTTGTATTGTCATCTACAGTCACTTCATTAGTTGAGTCCCATTACGAATAATTGATATCTGGCCCTTTTCGAATCCGATTTCGGCCGTGTTATGCTCAAAACCCATTTGAATACGGCCGGTTCTGGGATTTGATCCAGCATGGATGCACATTCAATGCTAAATCCGGCCGAAATGCTCAAAACCTGGCCTGCAAGTTGGTGTTGTGATGACTATAGTTGTTGCCACTTCTCTGGCCATTACGGTACTCTTCTGTTGAACAGTGAATATTTTCACCGATCTAATAATATGCCTTCTCTATGTGTGTATGTGCGCGCGCATGTGTATGTGTGTGTGCGTGTGTGTGTGTACGTGTGTGTGTGTGTGTGCGTGTGTATGCGTGCGTGTACCCGTGTGTGTGTGTGTGTGTGTGTATGTGTGTGCGTGTGTGTGTGTGTGTGTGTGTGTGTGTGTGTGTGTGTGTGTGTGTGTGTGTGTGTGTGTGTGTGTGCGCGCGTGTGCGTGCATGCGTGCGTGGATGCGCACGTGTGTATTTCTGTATCTTTGTGCACAATTCTTTTTAGACTGAAGGTGATCGTGTCGCGTGTGTCGGGACGCTTCGACGTTGGCAACCTGCCTACGTACCGTGCCTGTGATGACTACTTCACGTCTCGCAACTCAACAACGTGATACGGATGGGAGAAGCAGTTGTGCGCTTGCACACTGTGAGCCGTCACAGATTTAGGCTACGCACGGACAGTTCGCATGCGAGGTCTACTCTTTCGTGCCTGGCCCTGCTCAAACCATGCATTTATACATGCCTTGATCTGCTCAACCCGTGCATTTATAGACGCCTGGATCTGCTCAAACCATGCATTTAAAGATGCCTGGATCTGCTCAAACCATGCATACAGTAAAATCTGTCAAGGCGACCACTCGGATACGGCGACCACCTGTTCCTGAAGACCACTGAAACTAGCCCCAAGGAAAGCTATTTCCAGTCAAATGACCTTGGATAAGGAGACCACCTGGTAACAGAGACCAGGCTTTGAAGGTCCCTTGAGCGGTCGTCTTGGACAGGTTTCACTGTAGTATAGAGAAACCTGGATCTGCTCAAACCATACATCTATACATGCCTGGAACTGCTCGAACCATGCATCTATACATGCCTTGATCTGCTCAAATCATGCCTCTATGCGTGATTGGATCTGCTCAAACCATGCACACTGGCTACATAACGAGTGTGAGGCTGTCCGGTACCTACACAATGCTATTGCTGTGACCCTATCTGCGGATCTTCATCTTTTTTGGACTCATCTGCACGCATGTACGCAGAGCAGAGGAAATGAGGCCTAACCTGATAGTAATAAACTACTGTACTTTCCAGTTCTATTTTCTATAATATGCTGGTACATGTACCGAATTTTGAAACATGACGCCACTCCACACTGCGCTCTTGGTCCACATTCACACCGCCATAATGAGTAAATTCGTTTTTGGATAGATGTTGCATATCCTCCAGACAGCTGCTTCGCTCATTGAGAGCTCCTCAGTGGAGGTACTTGTAGATAACGAATGAATAGCAGATAAAGAAATGACTATTTATTAAAGGCTAAAACCGGCGCAATTGTTCACTTTGTTGTTTGTGCCTACTTAAGTGGCATGCCCAAAGAGAGTGATGGTGGCACATGTTCTAAAGGTGATAACGGAACGCGCATTGCCATTGCTGCTTCGTCATGCATATGCATGGTGCTAGCATTAGACACTTGCATGAAAAACAAAAAATACTTTTTAGGAGTTTGCACTAGCGTTGCCACGCATACATGTGTAATGATAGATTGAAATTACCCGTCCCATAATGAAGTGGAGACGAGGTGAGACAAACGTGCGATGTTTGCATTCTTTCAGGCTAGATTTTCAGAGTGTTTGATTTCCGTCAATTTTCCGTAGTCTATAATAGTACACTCTGTAGTCTTGTTTCTATTGTGTATGCTAGTAACTGCTGGAAGCTTTGTCCAACCCTCGGCGTATGAAAATTATAATTATTTGTTCCAGTTGAAACAAGGCCCACATGACTTTTATCTTGAACTATCTTCCCGCGTGGCTCTCCCGGAAATGCACCTACATATGCAGAATGGCTGTGTGTGTGTGTGTGTGTGTGTGTGTCTGTCTGTCTGTGCCTGTGGCCGCGACTTTCGCCATCCGAATTACTTATCCCGACGCAAGAACTACTGCCTCGCCTAATAGCTATCATCACCTTCGGTGATGGGCTTTCCAAAGGTTCAAAGGTGTGTGTGTGTGTGTGTATGTGTGTGTGTGTGTATGTGTGTGTGTGTGTGTGTGTGTGTGTGTGTGTTTGTGTGTGCATGTGGTCTCAAGCTCTGTTCATTGTTTTTGTTGGAGGATGCGACATCTGAGACCCCGCTTCGTTGTTGCTGCTGTGCGGATTGGTCTTTGTTCGTGCTCTGGATTATTTTCATAAAGCAGTACAGTACATTGCAACGCAAAGCGGACAGGTTTGCCCAATATTGTATTATGATGCAGTTGGAAAGAATGTAAAAATTGTTACAAATGCGTGTAAAATTAGCATCCTGAGGTCCAGCGATGCAGATCTATATGTAGAACACCAAGCAGAATAGGGTGAACAACACAGACCTTGAAGGAAAGAAGAGCTAGTTATGCATTGTAATTACAAAAACATGGGATATACGATCGAAGTTGACTAAATATCTTCAATATGCAAGAAGGGTGGAGTTAAGAGAGCGTGCTGATCGCTCCCCACTGTGCTATGCAATGGAGATAAACAACGGATAGCGTGCATACCAACAGAGATTAACTTGTAAAACTCAAAGAAAACGAAAAAATTGATGTGCCTCTTCTGATACATGTATACAAAACGGTGGTCCGGTTCATAAGCGTTCAAACAATAACACAAGAAATCAGGCAGCCACCCACCCACCCATCCCAAATATGGCTAAGAGGTACACTGAAAATTGTTGCAGGTAAGGAGGCATGCGTTGCGAAACTCAAAGTACATCATGTATGGTGTTGTCCTATCAGGTCCAGCCGTAAGCAAGCAGTACCTGTTTCAAAGGAAGATGAAAGGTGTGGTGCCTTTGGAAATATATTGAAATGTCACTTTCAAAAGAGAAGAAAAAGAGCAATTGAAACTGCAGATGGACTGACACCAGTGGAGAATGACTGGGTGTTATTACTTAAGCTCCACAATAGTGAATAGTGTCGGCTCATAACACAACACTGACGAGAATCATGATGATGATTTAGGCGCTACTGGTGATCAATGTAAGTATAATTGTCCTCTGCTTCGCTCTCTGACTCCAGTCCGCCGCCCGCTCCAGACCCGTTACCATGCTCCTCGTTGCCACGCAACTCCACACAGCCATATGCATCATTCTTGGCTAGGACACAGGTACCATACGCTTCATTGGCATCCATACTGATGGGAGTGTCCTGAACCGGATCAAGTGGATTATGATTGGAAACGGACTGGTCTCTGAGGTTCAGGTCCCCACCTGTTGGCAAGAAAATAAATGAAGAACACATAACATTGGTTAGATATCAGTTGGTTTAATGTGACGACGAACAATGTGGCAAGAAATTAATGCTGAATAATGGCATACGAGTATGCCACTGCATCTTCTTCGAAGTAGTAGCTATAAATTCTGTGGGTAATTTGTAGATTATTGGTCCAGTTCTATAATTACCTAATTTGGATCTTCAGAGTACATGTACATATTTGTACACGGCAAGTAAAGAGGTCAAGGTTACTAGGGCTGCAATACCTTCCAGACCGAGATGGATACTACAAACTAGTGAATTTTAGACAGGTACATGCATGAGACGACTGACTGAAGCACTGACGTTTCAATGCATGGTCTGCTAGTCTGACACACTACACGAAGGTCAACAATTTCGGTTAATAAAAGCGAAAATGTCGCATCACGACAAACAAGTATAATCTTCATTAAAGGATCTCCCAGACGCGATGGCCTGTCGAGGGGATCTCCTGATGCCAATCATGCAATAGAAATAAACAGTAAGGAAAATTACACGTGTTACAGTATATGCTACATAATGAGCAATAAACACAGGGCTGGGTTGTTCAAAATAAAACAATTAATTTAAATGTCCAGGGATATACCACTACAGTCAAATTTAAAACCTTTCACGTGCAAGCGATATTGCTGCTGAAGTATGATATTGGAATTTTCATTTGACTTTGTACTTCGAAGTACATACCCTGTTTCCGAGGCACCATCTTGAATTTCCATATCAGAATAATGGCAATGACCAACACGAGCAATCCAGCTGCACCACAACTAGCACCAATCGCTGCCAAACCGAAGCTGCTTGTGCTCTCCTGAGAGCCACTCTCTGTGTCAATATTGCTATCAGACTGATTGGTAATAGCTTGAACAGCCGTGTGTATAGGACTCTCATGTGGATCCTTGGGGACAGCAGTGGCACTGGTATGGCTGTCCTGGGAATCACTTGTTGTTGTCGCATTCGTATTGGTGCTAATACTCATCGTCTTAGACCCACTACTGGTCCGTCCATCCGTGGTGACAACATATGCGCTTACATTGTAAAGCATGCTGCTGGCCAAGCCCATGAACTTGACATTCTGCATGGCATCACAAAGTGTGTTCTTGTACAGGGACGATGGTGCAATTAGAAGAAAGCAATACTTGGCAATTGCTGATCTGTAGGTGTCCTCCACAGATACGTTGATTTCAGTGTCCGTAGAAGTAACATTGAGATTTGATGGTGCTGTAACACAAACGAAATTGCAGGCATGTTCTTTAGAAACAAAATTTGTTTCTAAAGAACATTCCAAATCGTTATTTAATAACGATTTGGAGATCATCTAAAATGATAGCAGGCACCAGTGGGTTGGTCAAAGACCATGATTGAGATACGAGAGGTACCTGGTTCAAGTCCTGCCTGGGAGCGGTTTTTCCAGCCGTGCTGCTACCCACAGTTACCTGGGAACTTGTGGCCAGGCACAAGGGGTACATGGATACAGCTACAGTGCATTTCAAAACTATAGACGCGTAGGGTTTTTGAAATATTTCAAATTTGGTTGGAACTTTTTGAGAATAGTTTTCGGAATATTGCTCAGGATCGCTCCACAATTACTCTCATATAGTTTCTAAAGGATTGGATAACAGACGCCCAATTTGGACAATTTTATGCACAAAGTGATCACAGATTTTATGTGGTATAGATGCTGGCATAACGGTTTTTGCCTAGGTACGCGTCTATAGTTTTGAAATGGACTGTAATGGGGTCGTTCTCGGCACTTGTGCCAGTGGTTGTGAGACTTCTCCACTCACCCCCACCGTTAGGCGCTGCATCTGCCGCTAGGGTTTACCGGGTGTTAGCGGCCGTCGTGAGTTCCCTTCGTGAACGGACACGTTAATTTACTTTTTACTTTTTTTTTTAAATGATAGCGAGGATGGATGTCGTCATTTCTACTATTGGTAGCCATGACCATGCACCATCATGAGCATAGTTTCCAAGTAGGTTATTATTATTATTATTATTATTATTATTATTTTTTCTTATTTTGTTAGGGATTTCCCAACAGGCAATGTTGCCTTTTTACTGGGAACCCTAAATGAGACTTTGTGTGAGCGCGAAACAAAGCAGGCGACTCGGCCAGGCGACAAGATGGAGGCAGCGCATTCCACCTGTCGGCACCAAGATACGCAATTGAATGGAAACCATACCGGGAGTGGCAGGCAGGCAAGACAAGAGCAGCGGTAGCTTGGCCCCGGGTTGTGGCAGCAGAATGTGGGCCAGTGCAGCGGGGAGTGAATAGGAGGCTGAGAAGTGGGCTAGATAAACCATGCAGACAGCGAAAGACAAAGACGTATTGCTTGAAATTTAAGCGTTGCTCTAGTGTGTAGATCTTGGTGTAAGCGTACAGTGTCTCAGTGGGAGTTCTGCGGTCAAGGGCAAATATTCTTTTAAGACTAGTACGGCTGGCTGTGATCAGCTGGTTGTATGAACGGTGAGATAGACAGTTAATGTAGGCAGAGCTAGCATACTCAAGGGTGGATTGAATAATAGATAGATAGAAAAGACGACGCGCTCTGTGGTTCAGGTACATGTACACGCACATATGGAAAAGTACCAAATCAACATCCCATGCTGTAGCATCACAATATCCACTAATATCTCTCCTGGCATAAATACGGGCCTGACCAATAGCATCTTCATGTTGTCTACGATTGCGTAGACATGAAACTCAGACTCGTACTGACAAACTAGCCGTGCCCTCGTTGCTCTGTGTATGAACGAGTACATATTATGTACCATGTTTTTCGATTTTGACAGCATGTTACAAGGCGAGGACGCGTAGTGCTCCTGACTACAACCATAAAAACATGTTAAACTACCAAGCAAGGCTTCTGTATATTATGTACCAGTATGTAGGCTAGGTGCACCTTTTGCCTAGACATTGCTGGACTTGCGGTGCCGGAGCATGTCTACTGTGGACGTGTTATGTGCATATCAAGTACTCGAACTGTTGGTGGTGGTGAGATGAGATAGGTTTTCAATATGCAACATAATTGATTGCGTATGATGTTCGGTGTGTGCTAAGTAAACTGCTAACTGCCATTTTGACAAATTCAGATAGACAAAGGTATTATGGAGAGAATCCGAGAGATCCTTGCGAAGTCTTCAAACAATGATTGTTGTATACTACCTGGCGGAAGTGTCGTGATAGATGTTGATTGGGAAGGCCAGCTCCAAACGTACTTGTTTCGGATTGATGTGGAGACACTATAGCTTGTGTCAGCAGTCAAATCCGTAAACATGTAGATAGATTGTTGAAATGGGGACGTGTACCTCTCAGAATACTTCCACTTGTTACCAAATTTGAAAAAGTACCGCAGAACAGGAAGGTTGCCGAGTACCGTTACATTGGCCTTTAGCTGGACAAATGTGTCAGCGATTTTGTATACTATTACCCCCAATGGACCTGAAACACATGAAAACATGATAAAAATCACGACTCTAAGTACTAGGCAGGTCAAGAACCACATTTCCATTTCTAGGGGATGCCAAAACCCTACGACCAGTTATCAGATGCAGTGGAGTATATGTGCGTGTGTGTGTGGGGGGGGGGGGGGGGGGAGGGAGTGGAAATAGACCAGATCCACAAACACGAGGACAAAGGTCGAAATTCATTTTCCCGCATTCAAGCATATGTCGCGTGTGCCTGGCCACAATGCGAGCAGGAACAGTGAGTTGGTCTAGGAACATGTCTGAGAAACACGAGATATGCCAAGATCAAGTCCTGCTAGGAACTGAGTAGATTATTCAACCGAGCTGCAACCCACAGTGAATTAAAGCGCAAAAACAATGTACTAATGCCAATATCATTACTCTGCCTACGGCCTTATTTGAAATAGAAGTAGCGACTTTGGCGGTAATAGAGAGGTTCAGTGACTCGTTTTTCATGAACGAAACGAGTGCTGACACCCGGTCCAGGTTAGAGTCTCGTTGACATCTCGTTCAGAAGATTCGTTTTTACGAATCCGGCCTGTCTGATTCGTATGCAGCTCCTAGATCGATCTGCCCCAGAAAGTGTGAAAACCTTTTGACTTTTTTGAATTGTTTTCATCTTTGTTGATAATCGATTCTTTCGTTTTCACTTTCGTTGTGTTTGGTAAGAATATTTCAATGTCAAGTGAAGTGCAGGCTCCCCAACGTCCCCCTCCACCCCCGTGTCGTGTAACAGGTTTAATCAAACTTGAAAAGTAAGAGGCCTGGTTGAGCGTGCCTCGACCAGTTATATGCAAAATGTGATAGTATACATGTGGCAATGGCGCCAATGAAGGTGCTAATAGACAGGCGTAAGACGCATGAGGTGCGAGGGAGTGTAAAGTTGTAGAGACCAGGGGAAAACTGTTACATCATCCCCCTCCTATGGAGAGGAAGGAGCTTATAACCCAAATGCTCAAGTGGAATAGAGTACAATAAGCGCAAACACGTGCGAGACGAAAAAAGGCTTCGCACTGAAGTAACACAATAAGACGACTGAAACTCCATGCAAATAAAGTGTAATAAGCTCAACAAATGTGTAAGGTGAAACTAGAAGTTCAACTGCAAAACTCAGTGGGCAGAAGCCAAGGTTTTGTACTTCTGAAGTGGAACAATGTCATTACCAGATTCATCCAACAAATAATGTTCAGGCTCCCAAGTGGCATCAGAGTAGCCTTGCCACTTGACTAGGTACTGAAGCTGATTCTGCCGGCGGCGGTGACTGAGAATGTTCTCCACCACATAGCGGGCATGACCATCAAGGTCCGTGATAGGCGGAGGCGTAGGCTGTCTCCTATTAGGAATAGCGTTCTTCTCGTAGGCACGGAGTGCCGACACATTAAATACCGGGTGATAGCGGCTGGTATGAGGCAACTTGAGCTTGTAGGCATTCGGGCCGACCACATGGGTTATAGGAAAGGGGCCAAACCACTTGGGGCGAAATTTATGGGATGGTCGGTCCCGAGCTTCAGGAGTCAGGAGGAAATCCCGGTAGACCATTACCAAATCTCCCACCTTCAGCTTTCCCTCGACCCTTGTCCGATCTGCATAGAAGGCCTGACGAGCTTGAGCTGCCACTAGCGCATCTTGTGAGATCTTGACCGCGTCTTGTCTTGCTTGCAACCAATCAGCTGAATCTCTGCCTCCCTGAATAGGGTTGAGGAAGTCGGGTGGCGCTCTGGGATTTAGACCGTAATTTAAGAAGAACGGTGTGTTTCCTGTAGATGATTGAGTAGCGCTGTTGATAGAAAACTCACAGAGAGGTAGGAGCATATCCCAGTTATCTTGTTTATGATTTACAAAAGCCCTCAGCACATCCTCTACTATTCTGTTTACTCGTTCAGTTAGGCCATCTGTCTGAGGGTGATTGGCAGTACTAAATGCTAGTTTCGTTCCTAAGCGATCAAACAATTCCTGAAAAAATGCTGCCGTAAATCTTGGATCACGATCACATACAATACTAGAACTCAAACCATGAAGTCGAAATACATGTTGAATATACAGATCAGCACTTCCTTTAGCGTCAATAGTAGAGGAAGTAGGTGCTAAATGTACACACTTTGTCAAGCGGTCTACAAATACATATATAGCATCATGACCTGTATCGGTCCTAGGCAAACCCATGATAAAATCCATCGAGATATCCGCCCACGGCTGACTGGGCACTGGTAAATTCTGCAAGAGACCAGTTTTTAGCTGGCCGCCTTTAACTCGTTGGCAGACGTCACATGACTTGACAAACGCCTTTACATCCAGTCCCATTCTGGGCCAATAGAAATATCTAGCGAGTCTGAAATAGGTGCGATCTCGACCGGGATGCCCCGCAGTCACACAGTCATGGTATTCTTGAAGCAGGGCGAGTCGGAGTTTGCTACTCTTTGGAATGCATAACCTGTTCTGTGGTGAAGATCTGAGATAAAGATAACCGGGTGTTTCATTTAGAAGGTAACGGTCGTGCAGATTGTCATGGCTTGAATTTTTCAGTCTCCTGATAATGGGAGCAAGGTCCTTGTCGCACTTGTAACCGCTGACAATTAACTGCGCTAAGTCTGGATTAATCTCTAGGGTATGCTCTATGGCATTCAACTGAATGTTAGGAGGATAGGATGACCCGCCTATTTCAGAATCACTGAACAGATCTGGACGGCGTGAAAGCGGGTCGGCAATGTTTTTCTTTCCTGGTTTGTGAAAGACCGTAAAGTCATAGTCAGCTAAAAACTCTACCCATCTTGCCTCACGCTTGGTGAGAGTCGGTTTGGTTCGTAAATAACAACACCCATATTATCAGTCATCAGGTCAAAGTGGCGGAATAGATAGATTCTCCAGCACTTTAATGCAAATACCACAGCCAACGTTTCCCTCTCGGCCGCAGTATAGTTGCGTTCTGCAGCTGACAGTTTCCGACTACAATAGGCTACGGGATGCAAATCCATATCTTCTCCCTGCTGCAGGAGCACACCCGCCACGGCAAAGTCACTTGCGTCAGTTTCTACCGTGAAGCTTTTCTCAACATCGGCCAGTTGCAACACTGGCGCCTCGAGTAATGCTGATTTTAGAGACTCGAATGCCTTCTGTCTAGCAGCGCTCCATTCAAAGCGTGAATTTTTTTCCGGTGATTTCTTCTAATGGACGAGAGATGGTCGAGTGTCGATCTATGAACCTTCGGAAATAGTTTGCAAAGCCAAGAAACTTCCTCACATCAGTTACTGACGACGGAGTTGGCCATGTTTCCACAGCACTTATCTTCTTGGGATCAGGGGAAATTGATGTGCCGTTGATTTTATGCCCCAAGAAGAGAACTTCTCTCACGCCGAATTCGCATTTAGACTGTTTGCAATACAGCTCACTATTTCTAAGTGTTTCTAGAACTGTTTGAAGATGATGCTGATGATCTTCCCAGGTCTTGCTGAAAACTAGAATGTCATCCAAGAATACTACAACGAATTTTCGGAGATGCGGTTGCAGAATAGAGTTCATGAGTGACTGAAAGGTGGCCGGGGCATTAGTCAGCCCGAATCCCATGACTCTAAATTGGAAGTGGCCGAACGGCGTATTAATGGCCGTCTTAGAAACATCCGAGTCTTGAATTCTGATTTGATTGTAGCCTGACCGCAAGTCCAACTTGGAGAAATATGCACTGCCCTGGATCGTGTCGAATAAGTCATCAATATTAGGAAGACAAGCTTTGTTTTTGATCGTAATTCTATTCAATTCTCGCCAATCGCACACCATTCTCAGAGTACCATCCGACTTTTTCACAAAAAACACAGGTGCACCGTATGGCGACTTACTTGGCTCAATGAATCCCTTCTCAAGTAATTCTGATAGCTGTGACTGGAGCTCGTCCATCTCTGGTTTCGGCAGGCGGTAGGCGGGTCGAGACGGTGGTCTGGCTCCATCTTCTATCTGGATTTCATGGTCGACTGGTCTCTTCGGTGGAAGCTCATTCGGCAGCTCGTCTGGAAATAAATCCTGGTACCTCTTGAGCAGGTTCTGGATGTCTTGTTGCTCTGATTCCTGGAGTTGTGGCCCGGAACGATTCTCCTCGTTTGCAGCAGTGACCCATGCAAGAAACCCCTCGGCTCCACTCCTCAGGGCATGACGAGCTTGTCGGCCACTGATAAACATGCTTTCCACAGATGGCCGGTCGGCTGTCGGCGGGTTAGCTGAAGGCAATTTGGCAACAAAGGGCTCACCGTCCAACTGAACTTCGTTCGTACGGAAGTTGATGCTGGGGTTGTTCCTTGTAAGCCACGGCTTGCCAAGAATAGCGTCGTAGCGAGTCAGGGGATACACAGTAAAGTGCTGTTCCTCACTGAAGCCCCCGACTGTCACCCTTAGCGTGCGTGTGGAAATCTGCGGGACCTCGCTGGTCGAGCCGTCCGCCAATGTTACGCTCAGCACTGCTGAGCTTGCATCCGTGTCAAGATGATGCTTTCGAACAAAACTGTCTGCAATGAAGTCATGCGTCGAACCGGAATCTATCAGCATCACTGCACGGCGACCGCCGATCTTTCCCTGTATGCGCAGTAGGTCGTGTTCAGGTTCATTGCCGACGCTGACGTTGCTGACATGACACCTTTCTGCAACGGGACAATTTTCTACAGCTATGGGTGTCTCCGGCTCCGTAGGTTCCTGGAGAGCAACGTCTTCAACCTCCAGAGCTCCGAACCGGTTAGCGACTGGTACCGGCGTGGGCGCTTGGGTCGTCGCCAGTAAGCGCACCCCCTTTCTTACTGGCGACCAGCGTTTGGGTAGCGCTGTCCACCCTCAGTACAGTCTTTAGCGAGGTGGCCTGGCTTCCTGCAAGCAAAGCAGTGTCCCATTGCTCGCAGTTGGACACGCTCTTGGTCCGTCAGCTTGCGGAGGCCCTGACCACGGAAGCTGGGCACGGAACGCGACTCTCTACTGGCTGGTGGCCCCGACGCCGGTGGCCCTGACGACTGCTCCACGGTGTTTGCTGCCATGACAGCTTGCTCCAGGGTACGTGGATGCTCACGCATGACCTGTCGCTGGATGTGCGGCACTAGACCCCTGACGAACAGCAGCGCTCTGGTGTGGTGGTCGATTTCCGGCACTTGCAGGCTGAGGCGAGTGAAAGCAGCAATGTATGCGTCCAGCGACCCGCGCTGCGCTGCGGAAATTAGTCCCATACGCGATGTTTCCTCGTTGTGCCGTGGTCCGTACACATCGCCAAGTGCCGCTTTCAGAGCAGGCCAGTCGGAAAACACTTGGTTAGCTTCCAATGCCGCTATCAACCAAAGACGAGCGTTTCCAGTCAAAAATCCTGCCGCGTAGTCGACCCTCTGTGCCGCATTTGGGAGTGCCAACGACCGTAGGGCCATGTCCATTGCAAACGTCCATTCTTTGAATGTAGCGGAATCTCCTCCAAACACAGGCGGCTCTTTCGTAAGGCGGAGTGTTGGCTCCCACGGTTCCGAGTTCGGATGTATCGTTCGGTGTCCTTGGCTAACGCGCTGAGCGGTCTTGATATCGTTTATCAGCCGAACGACGAGTACGAGGAGCGTAAGCAGAGCGACCAGAACACCTGCCAAAAGCAGAGTAGTAACCATCCTCTGCTACCAGTGTAACAGGTTTAATCAAACTTGAAAAGTAAGAGGCCTGGTTGAGCGTGCCTCGACCAGTTATATGCAAAATGTGATAGTATACATGTGGCAATGGCGCCAATGAAGGTGCTAATAGACAGGCGTAAGACGCATGAGGTGCGAGGGAGTGTAAAGTTGTAGAGACCAGGGGAAAACTGTTACAGTCTCCCTCTTGAGCAACTCCTGTAGAATGCAGAAGACTCGACGAATTCGGAAATTTGCAGTCTTAGATGACATCAAGTTGCAGAACTTGATCTTGTCCTCCGGACATGAAAACGTCTTTGCCTTACCGCAAGGGAATAAGGCTTGGCAGGACATCGGCAACGCCCTGTCACGGTCTGAAAAGTTACGTGAGTTAGTTCTTGATGATGGGCTGACATGACGTTCGAACGTTCGCGCATTTGTATTAAAAAAGTCTTTGCGCGAAAAAATGTTGCAGAAAGATCTTTCAAATTTTCTCTCCGCCATATTTACCATGGCAATCATGATGCAACTCGCTGTCTTCTCGTGCACGAGTCACTGAACCTATTTTGGACACTGCACGAGCCGAATACAAAACAAAATCGATCTCGTTTCGTTTACGAGTTGACAACGAATCACTGAACTTCTCTATTAATAATAACCGTTAGTTGTTCGTACACGCTTCCTCAGCCTGCTCAAGCAGAACTGACAAGGGGTGAATTCCCAGAAACACTGTGTTGTGGCCAGGCAGTTAGCCCTTTCCCAAAGGTGCTCGCCCATTTTTCGCCCTTTTTGGCCCTTTTTGGAAAAGCCCGTTTCTTTCGCCCTTTTATTGAGTTTTTTGGTGAATATCGCCCTTTTTGAGCTTTTTTAGCTGAAGAAGTGCTAAAATCTGTTTGCTCATGCATGAGATCACAGTTTCCGAGTGCTCGATGGGCCTTGGCACGCCGCTTTTCTGGGGGGGGGGGGGGCAACAAGTTGATGAAACTTGTACCCTACACAATGCTGTAAAAAGGTTTTTTTTTTAAACTTTACTTCCTGTTTTGCCTTTCGTGGACCCATAAATGGAAGAGTGCGTATTCATTTCTCAGCTTGAGTTCATATCTGAACATGTACCATGGCTATGCTTCACTGAAAAAAGAGCACTTTTTCAACATATTTTGAGGGACGCGAAAAGCACTAAGTGCGAATTAAAAGGAGCACCTTTGGGAAAGGGCTAATCATGGCTATCCTTCACTGAAAAAAGAGCACTTTTTGCCTGTTTTCACTGAAAAAAGAGCACTTTTTCAGCATATTTTGAGGGACGCGAAAAGCACTAAGTGCGAATTAAAAGAGCACCTTTGGGAAAGGGCTACAGGCAGTAGATCCTTCTTGCAATTTGTCAAGTGGAAGGTACGACAGGCTCCTCCTTTGCTTAGGATGGCAATCATGATTCCCTCCTTCCTTCCCTACCTCTCCCGCTTTCTCTCTCTCTCTCGCTCTCTCTCTTTCTTTTGTTGCTTTCTTTCTTCAGGCTCTCTTTGTCTCTCCCTCTCTCTCTCTTTCTCTCTCTCTCTCTCTCCCACTTTGTATCTCTCTTCCTCCCTCCCGATTCCTCTCTCTCTTTCTTTCTCTCTCTCTTTCTCTCTCTCTCTCTCTCTCTCTCTCTCTCTCTCTCTCTCTCTTTCTCTCTCTCTCTCTCTCTCGGTTTGCAAGGCGGGAGAGAAGCCAGTTCGCGTTCAGCCCAGACGGAAGTTGGTTACGACTGATCTCCTGTCGGCGGCCTCAGACTGGAAACTTCTTGTCGACTCAGTTAGTGCAAAGATTTCTTTCCCTAGCTGTGTTGCACTTACCACCCTAAGACCAGATATAGTTCTGTACTCTACGAGTCGTAGGATTGTATTCTGGATGGAGTTGACAGTTTGTGCTGAGGACAGATTCAGTGTCAGTAACTCGCGGAAGGACAGGCGGTATGCGGATCTGGCCGATCAATGCCGAGCAAACGGGTGGCAGGTCGTTTCTTTTTCGGTTGAGGTAGGTGTGCGTGGTTTCATCCCGGACTCTCTTCGGAGGGCTCTGAAAGCGCTTGGGTTTTCTAATCGAAGAATAAAATTTATTTGTAATTTGTGCAGTAAGACGTCTCTGCGAAGCAGCTACATCATCTGGTTGCGACGTCAACAAAAACACTGGTCGGAAGATCCACTTTTCTGAGGTACTGTATGTGGGGCTCCGTTTATTGAGGTGCGTTGAAATTTATTCTCTTTATCTTATTATTTCTTTTCTATAATTTCCCCATATGAGTTCCTATCAGTTGCTGTGAACACCTTGAGTGGAGAGCGCTTTCTCGAGCGTTGAACCGGGTTCTTAATCCACCATACCCAGTTCGCAAGGCTGGGCGGGGTTGTGAGCAGGCTTTCATTTCATCTTTTCTTATTATTTCTTATTATTTCTGCTTTTCATCTCATTACAAAAATTCTGCGCTTTTTCTCCATCCGCGCATAAAATCTAGACTGACAACCTGCTTGTTAAATCATGCACCTGCTTTCAGGCGTAAAAACCCTGTTGTAGAGGTCTCAGTCCTCATTTGTTAGACTTACCTGTCTTTATAAATGTAACTTACTCTCTCTCTCTCTCCCTCTCTCACTCTCTCTCTCTCTCTCACTCTCTCTCTCACTCTCTCTCTCTCTCTCTCATTGTGTCTCCCTCTCTCTCTATTAGGGATTATGAAGGAAAATAAGGATACACCACATCTATACCCCAGGGGTCCGTTTGGACCCCAAAACATGGAATGAGGGATAATCCTACGTTAACGGTGTGCACTTTACATTAAATTTGTTGTAGAGCATCACACGCAGTATTGGTCTATCACTAAGTTACGGTCTAGTCATCATCCCGGCAGTGGCCGTTCCACATTTTCTAAAAGTCTTTGAGACTCTCACATCGTGTACAATTAAAGTTGATGAAAGCAAAATATTCATCTAAGGGAATAGTTGCCGCTGCTTACTTTCTGGACGAGTTGAAAACAGAGTCCATCCCGATGCTGAGCTACGAAGTCCTGCCACCGTTTTCAAATAAGCTGAGATGTTGTAAAGTGTGTTACTTGTACAATTGAGCGATATGAAAGCGCTGTGAACAGCGCCACACACACGATTCGCATCGTATGCCTTATGAATGGTGCCTGCAGTGAAGGCTGGTCGGTAGGTATAGCAGTATTCACTGATGTTAGACACGTAGGTTGCCGGGTGTAAGACAGCGGAAACGCGCAGTACATAGACCCCTCCGTAAAACAAACTTATATTGAGCGGTGCTGCAGGATGAATATTGCAAATAAGGACAGCAGTCGTGAGCAAGAGGTTACCAATGCTCTAGGCAAGGCACCATTGAAAAGTGTGAAAATTCACAAAGGGACAAGATCACAGTCCAAACATCATCAGCGCTATACACTGAGAGTGGGGATCTGCTACCACCGTGAACAACACCTCGGAGGCACAAGGCAGAATTGTGGGTCATTATCGGGAATGGGGTGTTCATATTCTTTGAATAGGGTTATGCCTACAGTCTGTGAAGAATGTGTCTGCTCCAAACGCTGGAGCTATTGATTCTTGCCTACTGACTTTAGTGACTCGCGATTGCGTCTGGACCACACGAGAACGCCTTTGAACCTTCTACTCGGCACACCTACAAGAAAGCACTGCTCCCTGCTCGATACACACAGTTTTGGTGATTTCTCCCCCAATCAGTTGAGCTTGATAAGGTTAATGAAATATCTGTTGCAAGAGCAATTTTTTCGAGAAAAGGATCGAGCTGTGACCAGCTCTCGGAGAGCCTTCCTCTTCTGCAATGACATTCATAGTTTTCCTGAGCTGACGACAATCATTAAAAAAATTGACTTTTCGGGTCTCGAGAGAAAAATTGTCTCGCCTCGAGTGGCATAGTCCATGTATCAGTGGATGTAGAGAGGACACTCACATTGAAAAAAATGGGAATACACCGCGGCAGAAATCAGTCGAACTTAAAATTGGACCCTCGATCGAAATTTGCAATGCAGGATCTTTCAAATTTGAGTGCGAATGCAGATTTTCTCGCTCTGCGGTTTTCTTAGCTTATGTCCCAAGTATGTCTAGCAGTACCTCCAGGAGTTGCTGCATCAACCTTAGTAAGGATATTGCGTCAGAGGACCATGCCTTCTTCGTCAAGCTGCTTCTCAGAGCAGGAGTTCGGAGCAGGGACATCCGAGTTATTGATATTCAGGGCAGGAGAGGTACGTGTAAAGTAACTCTTGCCTCGACAGCTGCCCGTGACACGTTGCTCTCCCGTGGACTGTCGGCCCAAGGGAAGATCTTGGAACTGTTGCCAGGGGATGGCACTGCTGAAACGGTGCATGTGTTTGGAGTTCCGGAGGACATGGCGCTGTGGGCCATTGCGTCTTCACTGAGTCGTTTTGGGACACTCTTGGGGCCCACGAAAAACGAGAAAAAGACGGTTGAGGGCTGCACCTTCAGTACAGGTATCGTATACTACACCATGGTACCCACAATCGCTGTCCCCAGCTCCATCACCGTAGGCCGGTACAAACTGCGAGTTTGGCACAAAGGGCAGTCCCCACGTGCTGGAAGTGTAGCACCCCCGGCCACGTGGCGAGGGATTGCAGGGCGATCTCGCAGCAGGGCACCAAGCCCAGTGCGGGAGCTGCAACGTCAACAAGCGAGCTTGGACCACCCCAAGAACCACTTGGGCAGGGACAGGAGAACCAAGAAGTGGCAGCGCTACCAACACCAGCAAAACAGCAACAAGAAGGCAGTGTGAACAAGGTGGCACAGGATCATGTCCCTGATGCAAAACATTGGACGTACGCCAATGCGTTGGGAGTTCACACTCCCTGCACGAGTGCTCGAACCGAGGCGACTGCCCCCACATGTTCATCCACACCCGCGTTCCTGATGAGTAGAAGCTGGTCACCCATCACCCGATGACCAAGGCTTCAAGCTGGCTCGTGGGAAACACACGTTCCCAGCGCGTGTTATTACTCAGGCTTCAAAGCAGGGAGACCAGGTGATTGAGAGTGAGGAGAGCAAAGCAATTCGTCAACTCGTCACAAGACTTCGGAGAAGTATGCCACAGCGAAAGCTCCGGAGCGGGCGAAGGGACAGCTTGTAAGTTGTACAATCTGATTCGAAAAAGACCACACTCAACGCTTGGATGGCGGAGTCTGCTTCTACTACCGTCAAGATCTCCCAGTTCGATCCCGCCCAGATCTGCATTCTGAATCTACAGAAACAGTCTGGGTAGAAATAAACGGAAAACCAGGTCGGCACCTGGTTGGTTGCGTGTACCGGCCACCAGGGGAGCCAGTGTCTTACTGGGCAGATTTGGAAGCAGATATTGTACGAGCAGCTGTGCAGTCTTCTTCCGTGACCCTAGTTGGAGACTTTAATGTAAATATGGTCCCAGCCCATCCGGCACCCCAGCACAAACGCCTCACCAACCTCTGTGCTGCGTTTGGCCTCCAGAACATCGTCATGCAGCCGACCCGTGAAACTCCACAGTGCCCTGAAGGCACGATGATCGATCTCATATTGACCAACCCGGCGCTAGTGTCCCTAGCAACGGTTGTGCCCACTGATATTAGTGACCACAGCGCTGTGGAAGCCTTTATTCAGCTTGCCGTTGACATTCCACCCGCGTCATCCATGACGTCGCGGCTGACCAGGAATATACGTGGCGTTGACATGGACTCTTTTCGGCAAGATATCCTTGAGGCTTCTCTACATGATTTCTCGGATCACAATGATGTAAATTGCATGTCGAAAGAGTGGCACACTAAGTTCCTGTACGTTTTGGACAAGCATGCCCCGCTGCACAACTCTAAGCCTTCCCAGAGGGCGATACCACCCTGGTCTGACGGAGAGCTGCGCCAGCTCGAACAGCGTAAACGGCGGCTGCACAGCCGTTGGCGGAAGGATAGGACAAGCGGCACACTGTATGCAGAGTTCAAACAAGAACGTAGCACTGCTCGGAACGCGTATCGGCGCAAGCGAAACGAGTACTTCTCCCATCAGTGCGAAGAAAATGTGGCTGACCCTAGGAAGTCTTGGGCCATTCTAAATGCAGTCACTGGGCGTTCACGTCGCCGCCAAGATCCTAGTTGTAGCATCAGTGAGGTGGCCGACACGTTCCACTCCATTGTCACGGATCCCAACCGTCCTTAACAACTCTGTACCCCGCACGGTCCCGCTCGACCCGTCTCCTTGACCGAACTTGATCGTGTGACACCTGCTGACGTCCGACGTCTCCTTGAGAAGTTGGATGCGCGGAAAGCAAAAGGTAGTGACGGCACACCGGGCTCTCTGCTACAGCAGTGTGCTGACTTGCTTGCATATTCTCTTGCTGTGCTGTTCTGCACCTCGCTGAGGACTGGAACCATCCCATCCGCATTTAAATTGGCGTCTGTCGTGCCACTGTACAAGGCCGGTGACCCATCAGTCCCCACCAACTATAGACCTGTATCCCTTCTCCCAATAGTGTCCAAGTTGCTGGAGAGGGTAGTGCAGCACCAGTTAGTTCGTCATTTGGACTTGACCAAGGCATTACCCGAAACACAATTTGCCTTCCGCAAGAAATGTTCCACGGAAGACGCCCTCTGTGCGCTGACTGATAATTTGCAGAAGGCGAGAGACAGTGGCAAGACCACAGGGCTGTGCCCATTGGACATGTCGAAGGCTTTTGATAAAGTGCACCACGACAAGTTAATGCAAGACCTCCTTGCGGTTGGAATTTCTGGAAAAGCCCTTAGTTGGTTCGTCGACTACTTGTCCGGCCGCAAGCAGCAGATCCTCATCTCGCCTTCAACCAGCCCTGCTGTGGCTTGCACCTGCGGAGTGCCCCAAGGCTCTGTTCTCGGCCCTGTCCTCTTCAGGATATAAACACGAGATGTCCCTTTGGTTTCCTTGCCTGTGCCAAGTGTACAATTTGCAGATGACATAGCCCTGTACGACTCCCAGGCCTCAGCGGCGGAAGCGTCCAGAACCCTCACCACAGCGGCAACTGCTCTGGCCGGTTGGCTGAAGTCCAGAGGCCTCATCTTGAACGCCACCAAGAGCCAGGTTCTGACTATCTCTCCCCAGCAGCATGTACAGGAAGTGACAGTCAAAAGCGGCGACTGTCTTCTTCCCTCAGCGTCTTCTGCGCGCTACCTCGACGTTCACCTTGACAATCGCCTAGATTGGGACACCCATGTAAACTATGTGGTCACGAAGGTTGCCAAGAAAATTGGCGCCTTGTGGCGGGCACGCCGAAGCCTATCAAGACGCTCTCGTCAGGTGTATGTGAAGGCGGCCATAATGCCCGACCTGCTTTATGGCTCCTGCTGCTTTTCAGGCGCAATGCGAGAGGGTCAACTGAAACGACTGCAAACCGCGCAAAACAGAGCCATCCGCTGTATCGATGGCAACCCGCCCCGGACAGTCATGCAGCCGCTGCTCACTGCTCACTCCCTGTACCGTGTTACAGGCAGAAAATATCGATCACCATCTGGCGGTGCATCCACGCCCGCACCGGCCCTGTGCTCGCCCAGCTTCTAACCCCGGCACAAGGCACCCCTACCCGCCATCAGCAGTCAAATGGCCTACTAAGCCAGGCAAACCGTAGCCGCCCCGGTCTGCGGAGATTTTCTGTTGCTGGTGCTCTGCTGTTGAACGCTCTCCCTGGTGAGGTCCGAACAATTACCCGGCTACCTGAGTTTAAGCCTGCATGTGTACCATACGCCTGTAGGGAGTAGTTCGAGTTGGTGCTGATCGCTCTGCTCTCCCTCCCCGTGCAGTTCAGTGATCCTCACGTAGTAACACAGATACATCGTATTCTCTTTCTCCTCCCGTTTACTCGCAGTCAATAGTATCCTATTCTCTTACTATGTGCTTCCATAGCTTTTACTATGTTCTTCCAAAGCCACTTCTAGGCTAAGCCTTCGCCGTCATTTTATTGGTTCGTCATCCCGTTTGAATGTGCGAAGTGAAATAAAAACCAACCAACCAACCAACCAAACTTAATGATTAGACAGTATGACAAAGATACTGCGGCCAAATTCATCTGGAGGAATTCCACTGGCCTTTTTTTGGCTGAATAACGCTGAAAGGCGCTCTACAGAAAAGCAGCTAACAGTTGGGCCACGGTCACGTTGTAAACATTTCAACCATTCAGCCCAAACCGTTCCGCCTTTGCATGACACTGATCTCCTTATATTTATTGGTCGCGCTCACTTTCCCTTCTTTGCTTTCATATTCCATTCAACGTGGTGAACCCCTCGATAGG